TGCTGGCTTCCCTTCCCCAACTGAGCAGCAGTTAATTGAAGGTTTGCTTTGGTGGGGGGGCGGTTGAGACAGGGTAGTTCAGACTGGCCTTAAACTCACCATGTAGTCCAGGCTGGCTCCAACTCTTGGCCATCCTTCTGCCTCAGGCTCCCCAGTGCTGTGATTACAGGCTTGTGCCACCACACCCTGCCAGATTTGCTTTTTTTTTTTCTTTTCTTTTTTTTTTAAAGCATGGATCTCACAGTATAAGTTCAGGCTGATCTGGAACTTGCAGCAATCCCCCTGCCTCAGCCTCCTGAGTGCTGGATTGTAGGTGTGTACCACATGTTGGCTGTAGAGGCTTTTCAATTGTCAGAATGGACTTTTGGTGTCATATCAGCATGCGAATGAGAGTCTGCCTTAATTTCTTGATCACATTCTCACCACCTGTAGTTCCCCGTCTCCACCCGCTTCTCTCTCTTCCCTGCCTTCCTTCTTTTCTCTGCCTTTTCTCCCTTCTCTCCCTGGCCCTCTGCCTGCCTTCCCTCCATCCTTTTTGTGCTCCTGGGGATTGAATCCAGAGCCTTCATCCTAAGCTACATCCTCAGTCCTCCACCCAGGTTTTAACTTTGACACAGAGTCTCACTAAATTACCCAGGAAGGGCTTGGGCTTGTGATCCTCCTGCCTCAGCTGTCCAGAGTGCCGGGGTTACAGGTGTGTGGCTAAAATGATCAGTTTTATGTGCAGTGAATTTTACCTCCATTTAAAAAAAAATCAAAGGTAATGCTTTTAATATCTTGGCACCACTCACTGGGAAGCCATACAGAAAATACAGACCACTTCAGCACCCCGTGAACTATGTTGACCATAAACAGTGACCACGGTGAACCAGGTCTACCTGTGTTACAGAGAAGGGATTCTCTCGTGAGCTTTTTACCTCTGCCATTTTTTTTTTCCTGACACTCCAGTTCATTTTGTAACCATAAATGTGCCCTTTGCTCTTATTTGTAAGAACTCTCTTCCAGACATCTGGGCTCCAAAGTGTCCTACTTTCCCCGGTGAAGGCAGCTGTCAGTGTCAGGCCTTGCTAACGAGTTCCCTTGTAGAATGGGGTTCAGTTCTGGATGTGTAGCTCAGCTGCTCTGGGTCTTAACTGTTTGCCGAAAGACTTTTTAGTTTGAATTTGCCCGAGTTGTCCTTCTGTCAAGGAATCATTTATACAACCGCTTAGGAAGTGTATTTATTACCACCCCTCCTCCGCCCGTACTAGGGATTGAACCCAAGGCCTTCACACATCTCCAGCCCCTTTGCAGAGTTTTTGAGACAGAGGCCTGCTGAGTGACTAAGCTATCCCCGCTGGACTGGAACTTGCCAGGGTATAGGCAAGTGCCAGCTCACCTGGCTTAGGTATCGCTGTCTTATATGGTGTGGGGACTGGGAATCCAGCTCTGGGAAACCACACAGCTCAGCAGGTGCGAGCATGTTCGATCTCTAGTACCCTCCCCCCATAACAACAAAAATAAATTAAAAACAACGTGTTAGGAAGTCTGTTTTGTTTTATCTTGTTTCTTGTGGTACTGAAGTTGGAACCCAGGGTCAGTCCACCACTGAGCCCATCCCTGTGTCCTCATTGCCCTCTCACTGGGACGCAATCCCCACCTACCACCTAAAGGCAGAGAGGTTTGTTTGGGCTTAAGGTTTTAGAGGCTCAGTCCATACTCATCTGGCTCCAGGCAGAAATGGCCTGGCAGAGGAAGCAGCAGCCAGGACGCAGAAATTGTAGGAACTGGGGAGAGAGATGCGGCCTTCCACATCACACCCCATGACCCACCTCTACCCAGACCCCCTTCCTAAAGTCAGCTGTAGCTCCCCCATAATTTAGTTACTTTCCAAAAGCATTACCTAGAAGTGCATCTTAGGGGACATCTAGATATAAACTATATCACCCAACCCTTCTTACTTTGAGACAAGGTCTTGTTAAATTGTGCAGGCTGGCCTTGAACTTGCAATCCTCCTGCCTCAGCCTCCCAAGTAGCTGGAATTACAGGTATGTGCTACTAGTCTCAGCTGGAAACTTTAATTTCTATTCTAGTAAAAAGAGACAAGTGGAAAAAAGATCCCCTTTGGTTTTCCTTTTGGTACTGGGGATTGAACTCGGGATACCTTGCACTTGCAAGGCAGGCGGCGGAACCACTAAAATCCTCGGCTAAATCCCAGCCCTACCTTTGGTTTTCTGACATGGATGAAATCATAGGTGGGACTTTGGGGAGGTGACTTGGGGATGGGGGCACGATAAGCCCTAGTGGATTGGTCCATGGGTGAGTTCACGGCTGACTGGGCACAGGAAGTGGGACCCGGGAGGCAGAAGTAAGCCGGCTTATCTCTTCCCCAGTGCTCCTACTCACTCTGCTTCCTGGATGCTATTCTGTGAGGAGCTCTGCCAGGCCCCGCTGCAGTGCTGCCCTGCCCAGGGCCAGCCTGTGTCTCCTACAGCAGGGTTTCTGGAGACAGCGGTCCAGGTTGGGTCTCAGCCTGGATCCACTGGTGAATCCGCCTTGCTGCCTTGCTGGGCTCCACACGCTGATGACGCTTCCCCTTGGGGCTTCAAGATAGCATCTTAGTCACTTTCTTCATTGATGCAACAAAATACCTGACACCCACAATTATTTTGGCTCACAGCTTGTAGAGGTTTCAGTCCATACTTGGCTGACCAGATCTGTGTCAGGGGAGCAGAGGGGACACGGTGTAGAATTTATGCATGAAGAAAACCTTAAGAGGATATTCTGGTTCCAGGGGCAAATAAAAATAGATTTTAAAATAAGTAGTTTGTGTTCTGCTTTCCTTAGACAGACTTAAGTGGTGGGAACTACAGAAGGGTGTCCTTAACTGGGTTAGGAAAATTACATAGCAGTCATTATGAATTATCGTAAACTTAGTCCAACCTCTCTCCCACATCGCCCCCAAAATCTCTCATGGTATATAATTTTCTTTGCAAATTGCAAAACTTTTGTTTTCTTGCAAAGTGCACAACTTTGTTAGTTTGCTGAGGCAGTTTGAGCATACATTTACAATCTGGTTAAGAGTCGGCTCATTCCAAGATGTTATTAAACACACTACCCTGATTGCCATCATCAAAGCAAGGGGCCTCTGGCTGGTCACAAAGACCCTAGGAATGTTTCAGTTTTTCTCATATACTTCTGTAGGAGAGGAAGAAAAAGCCCAGGCAGATCGAGCTCATAGAGATTGCTGCGACCCTAGCTGTCCTCATGATGGACAGGAAGTTGCACGATGGTCTCTGTGACCCTGATTATTGCTGTAACTGCTGAAACACCACGGACAACCGACCACACAAGGGTCTGCAACTGCGTCACAACCCTGTTCCCCGATTTCTTTACTTTCAGTGTTAATCTGCTTATTTTAGCTACATAGTTATACCTTTGACATATTCACAGATGGTCACTTTATTTCGATCCAGACAGCTTGGTATAGTACAAAGGACGCCAGAAAGATCCATTTGTTCAGACTTGGCTTGCTTTTTTATTTTAATACTGGAGGACACAAATTAAAATAAAATAAATGGTTTTATCATTTGTACTCCTCGTTTTACTTCCCTGAAGGGAAATCCTCAGGGCCTTCTTCTGACAGTCCAGGAAGACCAGATTCTTCCTCAAGGAAAGTACGGCCTGGTGAGTTTTCAGCACCATTCCCAGGGAAGAGTCACTCCACTCATACCTCTCTCACACCAACCGTTGTCCTTCTTGGTGACAAATAATTGGCACCTTCCTGAAAGGACGGCTCATCTTCCCTGTCTTTTCCATTCTCATAAATTGCCACACCCTTTTCCAAGTAAGACTTGGAGCCGGGGGCAGATCCTCTTCCGCTTAAGGGTCCCCATGCTCAACCACCGTGGCTTCCTCTTCCTCAAGATCTTCCGGTGTGGAAGGCCGCATCTCTCTCCCCAGTTCCTACAACTTCTGCGTCCTGGCTGCTGCTTCCTCTGCCAGGCCATTTCTGCCTGGAGCCAGACAAGTATGGACTGAGCCTCTAAAGCCATAAGCCCAAACAAACCTCTCTGCCTTTAGGTGGTAGGTGGGGATTGTGTCCCATTGAGAGGGCAATGAGGACACAGGGATGGGCTCAGTGGTGGACTGACCCTGGGTTCCAACTTCAGTACCACAAGAAACAAGATAAAACAAAACAGACTTCCTAACACGTTGTTTTTAATTTATTTTTATTGTTATGGGGGGAGGGGGAGTCATCAAAGACACCTTCCACAGGTGGGAGGATCACAAGTGGTGGACGTGTTGTACCTGAGACTAGACTGGCCACAAGAAGGTCCGCCATTCACTGGATTCTGAAGACTTGGTGAAGTCGCGGATGCTGGGGAAGCGTGAGGAAAGGCAGGGCTGTTTCTGCTGTAGAAGGGGTCAGGATGACCAGTAGGTGGATTGGAAGAAACAACAGGGGAGCTGGAGTCGGGAAGCCATGAGCAAAGGCCTGGAGTAGCAGACCAGGAGGGCAAAGAGGCAGGTGCAGAAGCAGCAGGAAGGGAGGAGCTCCGGGGCTGGAAAGAGCGGGAGGAGGTGGGGAAGGAGGTGGAAACCCGCGCCCGGGAGAGAGGGCTCAGTGCACAGCCGCCCGCCTCGTCTGCTCTGTGCTCCGGCCCGATTAGGAACCTGGAAACCGCACCCGGTGCTTTAGCGGAGGGGACGTATTTTAAGAACGGAAAAGGCAAGAGGGAATTGCCAGGGCAACGCGACGGGGCCGCCGAAGCCCGCAGGTGCCCCCTAGAGGGCGAGGCGAGTCAAGGCCCGGGCGGCCCGGAGAACGCAGACCCCAGAGAAAGAGCGGCCGAGGCGGGCGACCTTCAGGAGCCTCACGAACGCGGGCTCTGAGAGGAAGAGGAAGCCTGAGCGCTGAACCCAGGTCGGGGAGCGAGTCCCGCCTCCCTCCCCC